GGGGGGGGGGGAAGTCAGCGATATCAGCCAGAGCAGTTAGCCCTATCACGGTGGGTGGTCGTCGGCCGTATTACTATCACTGTCACCACCTCGGTACTACAAAGACCGCTTGGCATCTTCAAGGTTGTTTCAATGCTACGGAGTATTATTAGCTATCAGTGCTACTATTTACTCGTATTGCTCCGCTACCCGTACGAGTACAGGTAGATGGGCGGGCGTGGGCGGGCGTGCACGGGACACCATGAAGAAACAATAGTCAGTCCTCGTCCAATCGACATATCCACATCAGCTGCTCCCATCGGACCCGGGACATGAGTGTGGCCCGCACGCCTATTGTGAGGCATTAGACGTGTTGGCTGACACAGGTACTCGTATCACCCGATCCTGACCTGACCGATTGGCGAGCGAAAGAAAGGAGGGAGACTTTTTTCTTCTCCTTCTCTCTCTTTCGCATCTTCCCCATCACTTGACCCTTCAGACCAGGCTTCCGGGACTGAGAAGCGGCTTCGAGACGGTCAGTAAAGAAACAGAGGGGGTGGGCGTATGCTACGGGAACAGGAGCATCGATTGCGCATGCTGCTTAGACGTTGGCGGTCTTGAACGTCAGTATCCTTCTTCTCATCAGTGGCTGAAGAAGGATAGTATGGCCGGCATGCGGAGGAATAGTGCCTGGGATCTTACTTGGATCCTGGTGAGGGGAGGGCTGTTCATGTCGGCTGCCCCTGCCAGATTGCTCACTTGGACTCGACGAGGGAAGGGTGGCATCATAGATCAAGACCTCGGCGGAGAGTCTCATACATCAGCAACTACACTAGCCCCTGGAGATAGCAGCACGACCGATGGACAAGACCCTGCGTCGATCGGCATGCCTGGCTTCGAGCCCTGCTTATATCTTACGTGTAAGCCGTGCTGAAGCGACACCCACCGGCACGGCGCATGGAACCTGCGCAGTAGCATCGCGATAGACCTTTGGCCCCGGCAAGTCCAGACTCTTCACATGTGGTACGTAGCACCTGCTGCATTCATTCATCCTTGCAGCCATGAAGACCGATCATGTTACTACTACATACATGTTACTACATGCATGTGTACGAGTTACGTTGGAGCACTGGATGTTGGAGGCATCAACATCTGGCGCTAGCCTCGTTTTGGAAACCACATTTTCCAACGTCACATCAGCCTTTGACGCCGACTCAACGGTGAGCTTTTCTTTACATGTGAATACACACACACACACACACACACACACATATATATATATATATATATATATATATTATACGTACAGTACCCTTCAAATCGATAGAGCTCCGCCTCCCTCTACAATGGCGGGCGACGGCCTCGGCGTCATAGCGCTCATATCAGGCGGCAAGGACAGCTTCTTCAGCCTGCTGCATTGCATCCGCCAGGGACACAAGGTGGTAGCCCTGGCAAATCTGCTCCCCGCATCCGAGGCGACGTCGACGGGCGTCCAAGTCATCGACCCCTCGGCTCCTGCTAGTGACTCTGCCGTCGCCGAGGATGTCGCCGAGGATGCGTCTGCCACCGCATCCGACCTCAACAGCTTCATGTACCAGACTGTGGGCCACGAGGTCATCCCGCTGTACGCGGCCGCCACAGGCCTCCCCCTGTACCGCCAGGCCATACGCGGCGGGGCCCAGCGTCACGAGCTCGAGTACGCGGGCGGGGCGTCGGACGAAGGCGGCGACGAGACCGAGTCCATGACCACGCTCCTACGGGAGGTCATGCGCCGCCACCCAGAGGCCAACGCCGTCAGCGCCGGCGCCATCCTGTCCACGTACCAGCGCACCCGTGTCGAGTCCGTCGCCCTCCGCCTCGGCCTCGTGCCCCTCGCCTACCTGTGGAAGTACCCCGTCCTCCCGCCGCCGGCCGACTCCCCAGGAGCCGACGACGGCCAGCTGCTCAAGGATATGGCGCTCGCCGGCCTGGACGCCCGCCTCATCAAGGTGGCCAGTGCTGGGCTGTCGGAGGATGACCTGTGGGAGCGCGTCTCCAGCACCGCCGGAGCGGACAGGGTCAAGGCAGCGCTGCGTCGGTTCGGTGCCGCTGGCGGCGCGGTCCTCGGCGAGGGAGGCGAGTTTGAGACGATCGTCATCGATGGCCCGCCCGAGCTCTTCCGGAAGAGGATCAGCGTGGCGCCCGAGAGGAGGCGGACCGTCCATGAAGGCGGAGGCACGACGTGGCTCGTGCTTCACGATGCCGCCTCCCTGGAAGACAAGCCGCAGGAGTCGGCCGCCGCGTCTCCTCCACGGGTACCGGATCTGTTCGATGCCGGATTCCAGGCGATATTGGACCGTTCGACGACGACGCCCACCGAGCACCCCGGCCCTGGTACGCGGGTGTCCTCGGCCCTGCTGGGGACGCTACCGAACAAGGTTCCCGCACCGAACCATCTGCTTCAGTGGAGTGTGTTTGCTACCGACGGCGGCTCTGTCGAGGCCGAGACCGCCGACGTCGTCAGCAGGATCCGTCACCTCCTGTCTTCACGTTCCCTGGATGCAAGTCAGATATCTAACACGGTCGTCATTCTGCGACGAATGTCCGACTTCCCTGCCATCAACGCCAAGTACGGTCAACTCTTCGCCAGGCCAAACCCTCCGTCCCGGGTCACTGTCTCGTGCGGAGACCTGCTTCCAGCAGACCGCTCCATCGCCGTATACCTCACGGTGGACACCACCCCGTCGGGAACCGGCATGGACAGACGCGGTCTGCACGTCCAGTCACGTTCTTACTGGGCCCCGGCCAATATCGGACCTTACAGCCAGGCAGTGGGTGTCGCGGCTACGACTGCGAGCAGCGGTCCCAGGTCCTGGTCTGTGGCCGGCCAGATCCCCCTCGTCCCGAGCTCCATGGAGCTTCCTGGCCCCTCGGGGACGTCACGGCAGACGCAGATTGTCCTCTCGCTGCAGCACCTCTGGCGGATCGGCAGAGACCTCGACATCCAGCTGTGGACCAGTGCAGTGGCGCTGTTTGCCCGGTCAGCTTCGGACGAAGAGATGCAGAGAAACTCGGCACTCGCGGGCCAGGCCTGGCGCCTGGCCCACGGATCACCGCGCGACGACGACGACGACGACGACGAAGCCGGCGGTGGGCCCGACCTGTGGGACCTGAAATACAACCCCAAGTACATGAGCTTAGCGGGCGGAGCCGGGCAACGGAAACAGGCGGAAACGCCTCTGCCCGACTGGGAAACCATGACCCTTGACCAGCAGAACGACGCGGAGACGTGCGTCCCTCCCGTATTCTCCGTCGAGGTAGAGGAACTGCCCAAGCAGGCGGCGGTCGAGTGGCAGGCTCACGTCGGCCTCTCGCAGGTGGACGACTCGAGCGTCGAGATGCTGTACCAGGCGACTATCCAGGGAGGTCATGCGGGATGGAAAGCCTGGCACATCGTTGCCCGAGGGGCTGATGACGCCGTGTACCTGCACACAACGCTGGCAAAGGATCTCGATGCTCCCGGCGATCTGGGACACATCCAGCAGGATATGGCTTCCACATACGAGGATGCATTGCGGGAACTCGACCTTGGCGGCGGCGACGGCAATGGCAGTGGTGTGCAGAATTCTTCACCGTACCTGGCTTACATCGACGCCGACAAGGTCGGATCCCCGTGGAAAGATGCAACGACCGTGTCGGAGCCAGATGGTCTTGCCTGGATGCCCTGCCGGTCAATTTGGTCGCCGGATGGGACACGTTTGGCGGTCATTAGCGTATACAGGATGACGGTAACATGAATGCAGCATTGGAGAGTTTTGAGCGACTGGATCTGGAGTCGTGATATATACGGAATCAGCTTCTCCAGGCCGGGTGACCCAACAAAACTAACCAACCATCCCCTCCCCCCCCCCYCCCCCTTGTGTCGATCAAGGTGACCTGTGCGCCCTTGCATGAAATTCGATTGCAAGCTGACTTTGGCAAGGAAGACATGTGAAAGATGCACACATTCCCTGACACTACTGCGAAGTGGGAGTAGCAATAGTAGGAGAAGGATAGTTATTGCAATTGACCTATGTTGCTGCTATATATTGTAATTTAACATGCAATTAACCTCATGCATAGAATAAGTAGCTATCTGCAGACCGTTAGGCCAGTCAAGCGGCTCATTATCCGATTGAATGACTATGGTTTGTGGGGATGACTAGTTCCAAGCTCCAAGCTCCTATGGAGTCGGAATACGAATTGGTTTGTTAGTATTATTAGTTACTATGTCACACCCACACACACACTCTCTCTCTCTCTGCTAATAAGAGCAAAAGGGAAAAAAAAAGGCACCACAAGAAAACAAGATCAGAACAGCCCTCGAGCACGCCATCGGCTCCACGGAATAAACATGGCTAATACCGATCCGAGCAAGGTATGTCGCGCCATTGATCGATGCATGATGAAAGGTGAGAGAGAGAGACAGAGCAAAGGCTGACATTCTTCCCCTTCCGTCTTTTCTTTTCTCTCCTCTTCTCCGCTCAGCCTTCCTCCATTCGCCAAGTGAGCAGTAGCTCTTCGACCCTGCAGCAACGAAGACGCCAATCCTCGACCGAGCGCATAGACGAGATCCTCCAGGTGAGCAGCCTATCATATTTTACTTCGGTCGAGGCCGGAGAGAGAGAGAGAGAGCGAGAGGAGAAGGAGGGACCAATCTCAGATGGGATACCAATCCTCCTCTCCGTCTTCCTCGGACGGCTATTCACCACTGTCGACGTCGCAGAACGCCCGGCAGCGGGCCGACGACATGGCTGCCGCGACGGCCACACCCGACACCAACGGAAACTTCAATCCACGCAACACCGTCACCGCCGCCAGCGGTAGCAGCAGCAACAATGCGGGGTTGAGGAGGACCCTCACGTCCCTGTCCTTTTACGAAGATGCCCGCTCGCACGCCGAGGCCGACGAGACCACGGCCGTGCTGTCCCCGCTCTTTGGCGGATCCCTGCGAAACTACCGGACGACGACGGGCTCCGCGCCTCCGCAGCACTCGTCGACGCTGCCGATTCCCCGTCGAGGAAGCCCCGGGGCTACCAGAACATCGTACCCACAGTCGCTGCCTAGCCTACGCGTCAGACGCAAGCCGAGGGATGATGACGACGGCGGTGACGACGGTGACGAGGACGAGCCCGACGAGGATGGGCAGCAGCAGCAGCAGCAGAGTGGCCAGACAGACGGCGAGAAAAAGGCAACGTGGTGGACGAGGGTCATATCGCCTCTCCAGTCTATAGAGCTGGAGAATCACGGCAGCGTGGCTAGAGACCACCTAGCGCTCGGTGAGTGTGTGCACGCGGACCCGAACGGACAAGGCAGATTGGGGATCGGAATGGCTAGCTGATCCTTCTCATCGTTCGATACAACGACAGAGAGGACATTCCTCGCCTGGCTGCGCACGTCACTGGCCTTTGCCTCCATCGGCATCGCCGTCACGCAGCTCTTCCGACTCAACACGTCAGTGTCCGACCCGGTCATGCAGAATACGCTGCGCAAGTTTGGCAGGCCGCTCGGCGCCACGTTCCTGGCCATCAGCATCGTCATCCTGCTCCTGGGGTACCGACGCTTCCGTCTCAGTCAGCGGTGGATCATCCAGGGCAAGTTCCCGGCTAGTCGCGGGACGGTCATAGCTCTCGTGCTCATCACCCTGGCTATCATGCTCGTGTCGCTCATTGTGGTTGTTGCGATCCATCCAGGAGGGGTATGAGATTCTCGTTTCATCTTCCCCTAACCTTGCTACGCAGGTACTCGTACCATCTCTAGGAGGGGAAGGGAATAAGCAATCGTTATTGATGGAGCGGGAATCTGGGTGGTGTTTTTTTTTTTTTTTTTTTGGGGGGGGGGTTTGGGTTTGGGTTTGGGTTTGGATCTGCTTGTTGAATTTCTTTTTCTTTCCCAGATATTAGCACCTTTTTTATTTTTGCATCAATCCAGCGTTGACATTTTTCTTTCTACCCGTACCAAAATAATAACAGTCATTTACGAAGTATACCATAATTTCTTGATGAGCATTGTATTAGCAATATACAATTACTCAAAGCTTCCCCTAGTACTCTTGACTACACGTATCGAGTTACCGAGATGCAAATCAGGAGGTGATGCAATCGGAGACAGACTCCCCCCTCCCCCACATTCAGAACCCTGAGCTCTCGAGGTGGGGGGTCTTCAACCCGAGTCCTCACTCGAAACCTTTCCCTCTCAGCACGTCCCTGTCCCGGCAACGAACGACGGAAGGCATTCGCGTCAAGACGTACGGACCGACCTCTCGTCATGGCCCCTCGCGAACCCGTAGACGTGGCCGCCTTTGCTCGGACGCAGATGTCCCTGCTGGACCGGGAGCTGCAATGCGAGATCCGGGAGACCAGCTCCCTCGTCTCCAACTACAGCCCGACAGCCCTGCAGCGCGCCGGCCTGGCCGTCACCAACCTCGCCGTCTCATCGCAGCGTACAGGTATGGGCGGGAAGACCGTATTCGAGCTGTCCCCCGACCCGGCCATGTCGAGCTCGCCCGACCTCCTCCCCGAGCACGGCATGCGCACGGGAGACATTGTCCTCGTCGCGGAGCAGCCCGGCGGCAGCGCTAAGAAGAGAGAGGTCAAGGACCTGGAGAAGAAGGGAGCCAGGGGTGTCATCACTAGGGTGCAGAAGGGTGCCGTGAGCATCGCCCTCGATGAGGGGAAGGAGGAGGCTTCGTTTACGGGAAGGTTGTGGATCGTCAAGCTTGCTGACGAGGTTACGTACAAGCGGTAGGAAAGCCTTCCCTTTCACTTTTCTTTCTCTTTATCATTTACTTTTACAGCTTCTTTTTTCTTTTTTTTTTTCTAGATGAGAAAAAAAAACTCCCGATGGTATAGAAAGAAGGAAGGGAGGAGGAGAGCTGACGCTGACTGGCATAACGCATAGTATGAATCATGCCATGGAGAAGCTAGAAAGGATGGGAGAGGCAGAATATTCGACCTTCATCCGCGTCCTGTTTGGCCTGTCGAGCCCGACGCCGTTGCCGGACCCCCAGACTGATCCCCAATTTGGCAATATCCAGTGGATTGATCCGACGCTCAACGATTCACAAAAGGATGCCATCGGCTTCGCCATGGCTTCGCCCGAAGTAGCTCTCATACATGGCCCTCCTGGGGTGAGATGAAAACAAGTATCCATCTGCGCAGCGCCTTTTTTCTGACAGCCCCCTTACAGACCGGTAAAACTCACACGCTCATCGAGCTCATCCTGCAACTGACGAGGCGTGGCAAGAAGATCTTGGTATGCGGCCCTTCCAACATTTCGGTGGACAACATCGTGGAGCGGCTGGCACCGCATAAGGTGCCCATTGTGCGCCTCGGCCACCCAGCGCGCCTGCTACCCTCGGTCCTCGACCACTCCCTCGATGTTCTCACGCGGACATCCGAGGCCGGGGTTATCGTCAAGGATGTCCGGGCCGAGATGGACGCGAAGCAGGCGTCCATCAAAAAGACCAAGAGCGGCAAGGAGCGCCGCAGCATCTACGCCGACCTCAAGGATCTGCGAAGGGAGTACCGCGAGAGGGAGAGGCGGTGCGTGACGGACCTCGTCGGCGGGAGCAAGGTGGTGCTGGCCACGCTGCACGGTGCGGGAGGCTCGCAGCTGCGCAACGCCCAGTTCGACGTGGTCATCATCGACGAGGCCAGCCAGGCGCTCGAGGCGCAGTGCTGGGTCCCGCTCCTGTCGGCCAAGAAGGTCGTGTGCGCTGGCGACCATCTCCAGCTGCCACCCACCATCAAGTCGCTCAACTCCAAGGACAAGGACAAGGTCAAGAAGACGGAGGAGGGAGGGGCGGGCAAGCCCATGCTGTCCCTCTCTCTAGAGACGACGCTATTCGACAGGCTACTGGCCCTGCACGGCCCCTCTATCAAACGCATGCTCACGACCCAGTACCGCATGCACGAGAAGATCATGCGCTTCCCGTCCGACGAGCTCTACGGGTCGAAGCTCGTTGCCGCGGACTCTGTCAAGGACCGTCTACTCCGCGACCTCGACTACGACGTTCGGGATACCGAGGACACAAACGAGCCCCTCGTCTTCATAGATACCCAGGGCGGCGAGTTTCCGGAGCGCACAGACGACGACGAGAAGGACAATCCCAAGAAGGGCAAGAGCAGTCTACACGGTGACAGCAAGAGCAACGACATGGAAGGTGCCCTGGTACGTCAGCACGTCGCCTCGCTGGTAGAGGCGGGGCTTCGGCCAGAGGACATTGCCGTCGTGACGCCTTATAATGCCCAGGTAGGAGACCATCACGGGAAGATACGCCCCCTCCACCTCCCCCACCCCAACCAGATGCGCCTACACGCAAAAGGCACATGCAGGCTGACATGACATACATGGGACGGTCATCAGCTGGCCATGCTCGCCCCCCTCAAAGACGAGTTTCCCGGCATCGAGCTAGGCAGCGTAGACGGATTCCAGGGACGAGAGAAGGAAGCCGTCATTGTCAGTCTCGTGCGCAGCAATACTGATGGAGAAGTCGGTTTTCTCGGCGAGAAAAGGCGCTTGAACGGTGCGTTTTTTTGTTTGTTCCACATCTCCAGAAGGGAGAGTGGGGGGCTCTATTTCTTCCTCTGCGCCGAGTGCGTGCATGTGTATGCGTTTCTAACATAACTTCATGCTAACGGAATCTTTGGAAACAGTTGCCATGACGCGGCCTCGGCGATCTCTAACCGTCATTGGAGACTCGGACACCGTTAAGAGGTAAGTAAAGTACCAAGTCTGAAGAAGAAGAAGAAGAAGAAGAAGAAGAAGAAGAAGCATGAGAAAGCTTGGATCTCTCTGTTCTGACATCTTCTCGTATTCCCAATACGGGTTCCCCTTGCCCCGGCTGCCTCCTGCAGACAGATAGACATGGCTTGTTGTGTGCTGACGTGACGTGACGACGCAGGGGTAGTCCGTTCCTCAAGAGGTGGATGGACTTTCTAGAGGAGAATGCAGATTTGAGATACCCCAATCCTTCTGCGCTTCTGTTGCCGGACGCATAGACCAGTCCAGCAAAGCGCGAATACGCATAGTATTATTACCTACCAGTAATACCATCCTACGAATACTTGCTACGAGGCGTACCTTTTTCTTTTCTTCTTCTCTTTTTTTTTTCATGTCTTATTCTTCGCATTTTGTTATCCGGTCTCACCCACGGCTTTACACCCTCTTCCCTTGCCTCATGTCTCTCTGTCGTAATCAGATTGAAATCTCCCCGTGCATGATCTGCTTTGTTGGTGGCTGATGCTCATCATGATCCAAGAGCAGCAAACGAAGAGACCAAGACGGTAGGGGGGGAGGGATACTATATCGATGATGTTGTTAAAGCAACAACCGCAAAAAGAAAAAGAGGATATAAAAAAATTGCGGGAAAAAGAAAAGAAGAAGAAAAAAAAAGACAGTGGAGAACTCGGATGGAGTCGGGGTGTGTATATTGTATTATATTATATTGTGTTGGAAGTTTTAGAAACCTGGATGTGAGGAGGGGGGAGGGGAGAAGGAGATATTAAAACCCAGAATATTGTCTTGTCTGATTTTGCACCTTGACCACGCGTCGTATGATACTTGGCCCTTGGAAGGTTCAAGCTGACGTTTCTGACTCTGCACATCACGACCCTGTTCTGGTCGCGAACTTTTCCTGACTGGCAAGGAGGAGGAGGCACAGGCGAAGTCGGAGTAGCAGCAGTAGCAGGAGGAAGCCTCCTCGTCTCAACCACGAGTAAGGATCTGGAGGGAGTGAGAAACAAAGTCTCGAGAGAAGCGACTTCTGGCTGGGGCAAAGATGCATCGGGTATCAGATTGCTTCTGTGCTTCTCGACGGTCTGGGCAAGGCAACGACAACCCTGCCAGCCTCTCCCTTTCCACTTTCTTGGTCTCACACACACACACACACACTTTCTCTCTCTCTCTCTCTCTCACCTCTTCTCTCTCTCTCTCACGCAGGCATCCTGCGAGCATCTCCCCTTCGAAAGAAAAACTACACGTACGGAACGGCTACGACGTGCAGGACGGCTTTGCAGCGTGCAGCTTGCATTGAAGAAAAGCACGTACACGTACACGTACAGTCCTACTGAACGAGTATACGATACGAACCAGGAAAGGCGTCGCGGGGGGAGGGGGAGGAGGGTAGGGAATAGGAAAGAGGAAGAGGAAGAGGAGAAAGACTTCTTGCAAGTTAATAATACGGCTTATACAGCAGTTGCGTGGCATTGCAGTAAGCAGAAACAAGGCCGCAACGCAGCGTCTCGCAGCTTTCACCCAAATCTAAAACACGCCATGTGGCTCGGGCTGCAGCCAGAAGCATTGTCTCACGTTTTTCTGTGGCTTCCGGTTGGCGCTAATGCTGATGGATCCGGGATCCCTTCCCGTATGGTGATGCCGCGGCTCGGAGAACGAGAGCCGACAGACTCTATGAATCTCGCTCTCACTCGTCGCCAAGGAATCCTCGCGGTTGGGGGAGGGAAAGATTGCTAACCGTTATTGATCGATGGGCCCATGTTTTGTTAGACTCACGGAACGTTCCTCTCTCTCTCTGTGTGTGTGTCTCTCTCTCTCTGTGTCCGCCCTCCGGACTTCGGCTTGCTCACCCACCCCGGTCTCAGGTCCCACCCCTGACTATTAGTGGATACGAAATAATAGTCGGTAAGAGGAAGACAGGCTGCTGCGCAGCATGAGGACTAATTAATACCACTACCCCGTACTAATACCAGCGAGTGCTACCGTCCACGGAGTACGTCGTATTCGAGAATCGGTGGACCGAGGTACTCTTGCGCCTGTCGTACGTGACCGCGGTATCAGCCGCTTTCTCTGGAGCCACAGGTGCCAGGAGCGACAAGGTTCGAGGAGGCCATCCCTCCCCCCTGTCGCCTGAAGAAGAATCCACCGTCGTCGCCGCCGCCGCGCCTGCCCATTGAGAGGAGGCTAAAAAAGGTCGTGGTAATAGTCCGTAGCTAGTCGTCAATGATCCATCATCGGTCGTCGGGTCAGATTGTGCATGCATAGGTTTGCATGTGCAGTGGTTCAAACATGTCCTGAGACAGGCGCCGCCGTCTGCATGCTTTTGAATGATTGATTGAGAGACAGAGAGGGAGAGAGGGAGAGGGAGAGAGAGCAGCCGGCGGTGGGAAGAGGTCGAGGTGACGACAGACAAAGACTGATGATCCGCGGGGAGACGCACAGGTAGATGATACGAACATGTATCTGTATTGTCGGAGTGAAGATGAAAAGATGTGTCAGTAACAGCAATGGTAGTAATACTACAGATTACAACATCGACAGTAATGGCCAGAAGAGTAAGATAACACACAATCACCATACCCTTAATCATGCTTGGTATCAGTACTCCGTACTCCCCCGTCTCATGCTAATATCGGGCGTTTTGTGTGTGTTGTAATATTAACTCCGCAATGCATATCTCGCGACTAAAGCCTCAGCCGTGCTGCTTTCCAATTGCAGGGGAGCGTGGGAAAGGGCTTGTCTTGTCTGCCTAGGCCGCTACCAACGGTTGCGGCCGATGACAAAGTACAGCCTCACCCCCCCGTTCTTAGCCCCTGTCAAGCGCCAGGGACTCCAAGAACCCAGGCACCTCCGTAGTAGATCGTGGATCCTCCCATTTGACAGTGACAAGCCTGGCGGTCGTGAAGTCGAGGTGGTTTCCTTTCATACCGTAGGCCTACACCGCAGCGTACCTTGCAACTTTGTAATACTTGTAGGTGGGAAAATTGGGAGGGAGAGGGAGAGAGAGGGAAAAAAAGAGGGTATTTCGCAACTCAGGAAAAGGCCAAGGAAGGTGCCGCCGCCGTTGTTCTTTCCTTCCCTTTCTTACACACACGCCCCTCCCACTCCCCTAAACTTGGTCCCTCCTTCACTTTCGTCATTCTCTTCTCTTCTCTCTTATTTCTCGTCCTTCCTTTCTCTCTTCTGATTTTCTTCCTTGTGCAACTTCTTGGGGGGACGCTCTTCCTTCTCCCTCTTCTTCCCCTTCCTCCTCTCCTTGGAACATTGTAACACAAGACAACGCGCACACACGCTTTCCGTGTGTTGTTGGATTTGCTTTGTTAGAGCGCGCGTGTCCCGGCTCCAGAGGGTGTTGAATCGCCCGCCCGCACGGAACCGAGCATGGCTGGTCCCAAGCTCAACCTTTGTTAAAGCCTTGTAATACCTTGCGAAGCCGGTCGGTCAATCATCCCAAAAGCTCCCTAGACGCCCGGGCCAGAGGTATGTGTGGGTGCTCGTATGATGACATACGATGCTTGAATGAGATCTGACTCGCAATGTGCGTCGACCTCAACTGACTTGTCTTTTAGGTCTTTGTTTTTTTTCTCTGTCTAAGACGTGGTTCTTGCTTTTTTTTTTTTGCATACATCACACACTCTTTTCTCTCATAGGCTGCCTTGCCTCTATTACTCTCCTTTGATCTTCATTTTCTTATACCGTTTTCGACGCACCTGGCAGCCCTGCCTCTCGTTTTCACAAGCTATATCCAGCTACGACATTTTTACTTTCGTCCTTTCGCCTTAAACAGTCGCCTCTTCCTTCTACGACTTACAGCCAACAAGCCCATTACATATCTATATCCACCAACTCTCTTCCTCTCATCATGAAGGCAGCGTGGAAGACGAGCCATGCGCCTGATGGGCGCATGTCCAGTCCCGCCAACATGGATCGCGATCACCGTAGTATCCGTGGGCGCATATCAGGCCCTATACCCATCGCAAGCTCCATCGACAGCGACACCTTGGCCGACCTTCCCCTTCCGCCCGACGCCGCAGTTGCCAGGACGCTTACTCCGCCCATGCTCGTCGAGGACAACGACGAATCCCCGGATCGGACCCCGGAAAGGAACAACATGCCTTCGACTCCGCCAAGCGTCCTCTCGCGCCATATCCACATTGCCCACGACTCGAAGCCCTCTAGTCGTGCCAGTAATGCCATCAGGGACGTGCACCCGCCCCGTGTCATCCACCAGATGGATCAGTCTTCGGCAACCATTCGCGCCTCGATGACGAGCAACGGCACCGCCGAGACTTTCGAGGACAAGCCACAGCGGAGCAGGTCAATGCTCAGGGGTGCCATTGGGAAACTGTTCGGCCGTCGCAAGAAGTCCGTGAGCCAGATAACTCCTTCTGTCAAGAGCAGCTACCGGCAGCCTCCCGAGACGTCTCCCCCGCATAGGAGAAGTGTAAGTGGCTCCATACATGTCATCTGCAAGTCTGTCAAGGCTTTGGCTAACCCTGGTGCCAGAAATCGGAAGCTGTACCTGGCATGAATCAGAAGGGGCCTCTAAGCCGGGAACGTCCCGTGTCAGTACCTCTCCAGGAGCTAACTGAGCCTACGCGCTCAAGCCCCACGGGCAGCGGCAGGCTACAGAACGTCGACAGCACTAGGACCTCGTACGGTGCCGGACGTAACTTCTCCAGAGGCCGTGCTAGCACTTCGCCATTCCGTCCTTTGGAAACACGCCCCGGGGAGCCTACCGGTCTGACACCTCGACCTGCGAGCAGCAGTGGGCGCATCAACAAGGGGCAGTCCCAGGTGGAAAATCCCGAGGAGATTGGGCGTGCCATTACCATGGATTCTACAGGTCTCAAGAGGCGGAGCCGGAGCCTATCCGTGCTCTTTGACAGTGATGGTGGGGCGAATGAGAAGGTCGGTGTTGAAAACGATATCCGTTACTGGAGAAAGAGTTACGAGTCGGTGGACAGGTCTCAGCTCTCGACGGCACATCAGGACGACGGAAACCACGTCATTCAGCCGGTCGAGGAAGCGGGAATGGATAGGGATATGAATGTTCAGGTGGAGGACGTGAATGCGGAAGTGGAGGACATAGATATGGAAGTGGAAGCACCACCGCCAGAGGCGCATACCGAAACCGCAAACCCCATATTCGACATGTCCTGCATCAATGAGCTCTCAGGGACGAAGCTTACCCAAGCTGCCAACACGCAGACTACCATGCTGAACATTGAGAGAAGGTTGGTCCAGCTGGAGCAGGATGTGGCAGACCTGTCACAAAGCCAGAACCAGCCGGACCTGGACCCCGATCAGTCGCCTGGTAAGGGCAGCTCGGCTGAGCGCAATAAGAGGGTACCTCGCCGTCCATCCCCGCGAGATTCGTCGACACATAGCCAGCCGTCTACGCGTCTCCAGAACCGGACTCTCCCATTACGAGACTCAGATTCTTCGGCGCTGTGGTACAACGACAGCCAGACGGCCGCGTCTGTGGCAAATTCGACCTCAACTGGCCGGCCACCGTCCATTTCGACGATCCGCGGCGCCGCGAGGGCTACCTCGATGACGAGGGACATAAACGGCCCCTTCACCGTGGACCACTACGCAACCCTGATATCGCTGCTGGAAACGGAGCGATCTGCACGAGAGGCGCTCGAGGACAAGGTCAGGGGTCTGAACAACCAGGTCATGCTCCTGTCCAAGGCCATCGATGCGGCGTCTCGCGGCGGCCTTGGCAAGGCGTCCAAGATGTCCCTCGGCTCGGTCTTCAACGACGATGACGACGGTGGCGTGGGAGTCGACGGTCACGACGACGAGCAACACGGGTACAGGACTATACCGACCACAAGGCTTGCGGGAAAGCGAGTACGACACAGCGGTTCAGCCAGCAGCTCGCATATGGCGAACCACTCGGAGGCGGAAAGCAGTATCAACACCCTTGAGAACGACGAGTCTGCCTCGTACTATGCCACCCCCTACGAGTACGAGGACGACGCGGAAGACGATGGTCGTCAGAACTATGGGAACGTAAACGGAACCACCAAGGCGGACCGGACCATGTCGCTGTCACAACTGACGATGAAGTCGCCTGCCCAGGTGACACATGACCCCCTGCCTTCTGATGGGTGGCCTAGGATCTTTGTTTAAATCAATATGTTGCATGTGACGGTTTCATCTTTCCCAGTTATTTTCTTCTCTGCCTTTTTTTTCTTATTCTGATACCTCTAATCGTGTACTTCTAGCGTCAGGCGATCTTGATCATTGTTTTGGATTGTGGTTTCGGCTGTTTGATGTACTGTTTTTCTCAACATCTCATTGCCGTTGCTTTCATCGTCTCTGTGCCTTTGAGTCTTTCTCAGATGTTCATCTCTTGATTTCCCTTTCTTCTCCTTTTTGGGCCTTCTATCTTGCAATGATGTCTTCCGTCTAATGATGTGCTATGATGAAATTGGGTAACGAAGAAAAGAAGTATATCGGCAGTATACAAGTTTGGTAAAGTACTAATATACAAGTTGGCATGGTTTATTCATTGTCGATACAAGGTGTTGATACAGCAGAAGACTGTACTTGACATTACTTCAGTTGAAATAAGAGTGGTGGGTTTGCTTTTTTGTCTCGTTTTGTTCGACAGAGATGGGGAGAAGAGAAAGAAAGAGGGTAAGAAGACTTAAGGATCCCTCTTAGCACCCTTGATACCCCAGCTGCCGACGAGGGCCATGGACTTCTCATCACCGGGAGCAAGACGCTTGTCGTTGAGGGTATCAGCCAGGCAGAGCCACGGGTCGCGGCCACCACCCCACTTGAGGAGGTTCTCTTTGAGGCGCTCTCCGCTGCGACGGTCGATGGCCGTCTTCCCAGCGCCAAAGACGACGCGCCACACGCGCTCGGCGAGGACCCGGTCAAACAGGTAGGAGTAGTAGGTAGCGCCGTAGGAGTGGAGGTGGCCGAAGAAACCCTGCCAGCAGGTCTCGCGGGGCTCAGGGGGGCCCATGGCGTGCCGGGAGTGTATGTCGTGGAAGGCGGCGGTGGAGTCGAAGCCCGATTGCGAGGACGAGGAGCCGACGGCGGGGGAGTGGTAGGCCTGGTCAACCATGGCGAGGAGGATCTGGTGCTCCGTGTCGATGCCTTCAAAGCGCCTGGCCAGGCGGACGCGCTCGGCGACCAGCTCGTAGGGGAGGGGTTTGTCGGTGCGCCAGTGGCGGGCGAAGAGCGAGAGGACCGTGGGGTCGGCGGCGAAGTGCTCCATCAGGGTCGAGGGCAGCTCGGCGAAGTCGGTGGCGCAGCGGGTGCCCGAGACGTTCTGGAACGAGGTGCGCGCCAGGATGGAGTGGATGGCGTGGCCCATCTCGTGGAAGAGGGTCTCGACCGAGTAGTACGACAGCAGGGCGGGCTCGCGCGAGCCGCTGTCGCCCTTGGGGAAGTCGCACACCAGGGCCACGGTGGGCAGCTGCTTGAGCGTGCCGTCCGTCGCCGACGTCTCCATGCCGTCGTTGGCCGCCTGCTCGGGCGTGTCGAAGGCCGGCGTCCCGGGGGAGCCCATGTCGGCCGCCACCTCGGCCACCTCGTCGGGGAGCATCTCGCGAGAGCAACGGACCGTGAAGTGCGCCGGATTGGGGAACTTCTGCGGCCGGTAAAACAGGTCGCAGTACAGCACAGCCACCAGCCCGCCGTCCTCCCCCACGACGTTGAGCCTCTTGACGTCCGGGTGCCACGTCTCGCCGGGCTGCGTTTCCTGCGCCACGAATCGGATCCCGTAGAGCTTGTCAAACAGCCTCGACAGTCCCTGCATCACCGTGCCCACGGAGAAGTAGGCCGACAGCTGGTCCTCGTGCCGGACGCGCGACCGCATGTCGGCCCGAATCTTCTCCATGTAGAAGTCGCGGTCCCAGGCCTGCAGCTGCATGTCGGGCACTGACAGCCTCTCGCGCTTGCGCTCCGTCAGCTCACGCAGCTCATCCTCCACGATGGGCCGGTTGTGCTCGCGCAGGGCCAGGAGAAACTCCATGACGGACGCGGGCGATTTGGCCATCATCTTGTCCTTGAGCACCATGTGGCCGTGGCTCTGGAACCCGGCCAGCTCGGCCAGCTCGGCACGCAGCTTGAGCATGGTCTCGAGGCGGTTGATGGTCTGCTTCGATGCCTTGCGCTGCGCGAGGTATAGCTCGCGGCGCGTCTCCTCGTCGTACACGCTCTGCAGGGCCGCCGCAGCCTCGGACCCCATGGTGGGCACCGATATGTTGTTACGCACCTTGAGGCTCGACGCCAAGGCTGGGTACAGGCCGTAGAAGCGGTGCGAGGGCAACGTCACCTCTGTCCTCTCCGGGGCCATACCCTGGACGAAATCGGACCCCACCTCGCTAATGCTCGACGACAGCTGGACGAAGCGGTCGCGCGCCTTCTTGGGCAGGTTGACGGCCGACTTCATGAAGTCGAGCTTGAGCAGCTCGGCTACCGTCTTCTCTTCGTCGGTCCACGACTCGACGACCTCGGGCATAGCCAGCGCGCGGTCCAGCTGGTCGCTCAACCCTGTCATGGTGTTGAGCTCGTTCATGTACTGGTACACCATGGACCAGGCACCCGTGGCGGCGTCCTGCCACCGCGAGTCCGGGTGCGTCATGCGCACAAAGTCGCACAGGTCCAGGACGCGGCACAGTAGGTCGCTCAGCCGGTCCAGGTCGCGCACAATTGTGCGATACTCGGCCGTCCCGGACGCCGTCAGCACCCGCCGCACAATGCTCGTCGCCCTCTCCAGGTTCTTCTGCGCAAACACTAGGAAGCCGTCCGGGCTCGTCAGGTACCGGTTCTTGAACAGGCCCTTGCTCTTCTTCTTGAGGCTGAAGTCGGGGAATTTCCGGGCCGAGGGGACGTCGAAGACGGTGCGCAGCGTGCTGTCGTCGTGCTGCTTACTCGTGACGTGGTCGACGATGGGCTGAGGGCGCGACGCCGCGTCAAAGGGTGTCGAGAAGGGGAGCGTAGAGAAGCATCGTCGGCTTGCTAGAGGTTCGATGGATCGGCCGACGCATTGCCTGCAGACCCAGAGGCTTCGGCGTGCCCCTTCGTGACGGATCATGCTCGACTAAAGTGCTGGTGGTGAGATTCTTATATCGACGGTCTTGATGACATGGGTGGACTCGGTTGTACAGGTAGATAATGTACGAGTAGCAACGTCGGAAGATACGGCGGATATAAGGATTTGAGAAGCGAAGGACGATGAAGAATTAGAATAGAAGACTGGTCGAGGATGTCCGAGTTATTAGACAAACAGAAAAAAGTATGGCTAACTTGTAATGATGTGTGCATGACAGCCGGTTGCTGGCCTGGCGTTGTCCTGTTTAACTTTTACTCGCAGGTGTAGCGCCAGGGGCGGAGGGGACTGGGATTGTTTGGTCAGCCTTCAACCGTAATGACACCTTCCAACCGCCGGTACGCAGTGCTCCTCGACCACTATAACCGAATATTCACCGCTGTGGAGGCTGATGATTACAGCGGTCCGAGGGGGGGGAGGGGGGAGGTCAGATATTACAGCCTGCAGCAGCTGGCGGGTCAGATCGGGTCCAATGGCCCGCAGTTTACCCGTTGCCGGCACAGAAGCAAAGAACCAGGCGATGATGGCATGGGCCACGAGATCTCTCTCACTGCTAGGGAAAATCGACAACAACCAAAGCTTCCCGACCCTTTCCCTCTCTCCCCACCCCATCCCAATCGCCAATTGCATCCCTCAAAATGGCTGCGAGAGTGCTGCTGCAACGGGTAAGAATAGGAAAATCCCCCCTCCGGCTTGTCATTTACGAGGGGGAGTTCCCGGGAGAGAAGGGGGGAAAAAACACTCGAGATGTGCTAACCTCTCACAGCGCTCGTTGGCGACCATGGCTCTCGGTGGCATGGCCCTTGCCCCGGCCACCGTCTACGCCGAAGCGCCTCAGTCGTATAAGGCATGTCGTCCTACCCCGGAGAGATCATACAAGTTGTTCGTGGATGCAGAAACTAATACCAGCGACAGAGAAAGTCCATCTACGACGACGTAGCCGCCGAGGTCGTCCCAGCTAATGCCGCACCGGCAAAGGAGGCACCCGCCCGCGCCGCCGCCACGCAAGAAATCACCAAGTCGACCGAGGGCACCGTCCCTGAACGTCGCCCCACCCCAACCGACCGGCTGGCCGTTCAGATCGGCAACGCCCGCTTGTTCCTGCACAAGTACGTGGCCGCGGCCGAAGACAGGGTCAACGAGATGGTGGACTCGGCCTTCAGCCTGGAGCGGTCGTTTACGGGGACGCTGGCATCGCTGGCGCCCCCGCGCGACAGCGGCGAGAAGCTGATGCCTGGGTCCATCTACGTGATCGTGGCCGCCATGGCCGGCAGCATCGTCACCCGCAACCGCAACATCCTCCTCCGTGCCACGGCGCCCCTCGCCCTGGGCGTGGGCGCCGCCTGGACTGTCCTGCCCATCACCATGCGCAACGTGTCCGACCTGGCCTGGGAGTACGAGAAGAGGGTCCCCGCCGTCGCCGACGCCCACATCCAGACCCGCGAGGGCATCGAGAAGGCCATCAGCTTCGCCAAGGTCCACAAGGAGGTCGGCCTCCGGCTCGTCAACGACAAGGTTACCGAGGCTAGGGAGACTGTCGAGGGTTGGGTTAGGCAGGGGAAATAAAAGAAGTCATTCAAATCTCCTGACGTCTTTTCTCATCGAGTCCTTTTTTTGGAGAGAGAGAAAAACATACATACACTCTTTTTCTTTCTTTCCCTTCCGCCTCGCTCGGACAAAGACGGCCTTGGCAAGAGAAGAGGAAAGAAAGATGCAAAATAAGCGAACTTTGTTGTACTACCATATAGAGGCTTTTTTTAAGATACTCTTTTTTTTTTGTCTAGAACCCCCGTTTCATTGATTCGCTTGTAGTAATATATCGTTTGCAATTCCCGTTTTAAAATAAAATAAACAACACGAAGCATATGTCAAGATGATCTCCATCTACGTGTCTATAGAAAGACAGGTGTTCCCCTATGTTTAATTATCTACTATATGCTCCTAAACTCCGGTGTATGGCCAAAGGACAATGTAGATGAGAAGCGCGCGTCGTTTTTTACCCTTTCTTTGTTTTTGTCTTGATCTCACCCGGCCACGGCCAGCTCGGCAGACGGCGGGCAGTCTGATTCGATCGCGGGCTGATGCTTGCTCGGTGAGCCCCCTTTTACCGGCACGGGTGGCAGGATGATACCCTGCCTTGCGTCGGCGGCCCTGGCATCGTCAAGGAGGTGCTGCAGTTCAAGGGCGCGGCAGAGCTGCTCGTAGCTCTTGCAAGGCGTGACACGCCTGTAGGCCTTTTCCTTTCCGGGGATCATCTGAGTGAGGAGGTATTTTGTGTTGCCGAAACGGTTGTCGACGGCCATGCAAGTGGTCAGATACTCTGCCATGACCTGATGCCAGGGCAGGAGGGGCTCGGTACTGCCGTCACCGCCGACGTCGCGGAAGCAGCTGGGGTTCTTCTCGGCGGCCGTGGCGATCATGGCGCCGTCCGCACCGTACTCGCGGGCGAGGGACAGCCCCGCCTTGCGCGACTCGACGTCCCCGTTCATGAGGCAGGCGACGCCGGCCTCGCGGCATACGGCGGCGACCATGGAGAGCTGGTCGCGTATGGCGCGCTCACGGGGCCGCATGGGCGTGGTGCGGCAGTGGACCGTGAGCCCCGTGATGCCCGTGGCGCACAGCCGGCGCACGAGGGCCTCGGTGTCGGCCGGGTCGGCTAGGAGGCGGATCTTGACGCTGACGCCTATGCCGAACTCGGGGGTTATGCTGGACACCAGGGCCTCGAGGATGCCGCACAGCTTGTCCGGTGTGCGCAGCAGGGCCGCGCCCATGCCGCCGCTTGTGCTGAAGGGCTTGGGGCACCCGGCATTGACGTCGATGCCCGCCACGTCAGGAGCCACCAGCCGCGCCGCCTGGACGGCCAGCGCCGGGTCCGACGTGCCTATCTGGCATATGAGGCGGCCCGCCTCGACCGAGGGAAGCGTCCGGAAGATTATCGTCTCTTGCTGGTCGTTGGCGCTGCTGGGGTTATTGTTGGTCGTGCGGAACCACTCTATCGTCTTGGACGTCTCATTGAAGCGGCGCGTCGTGCCGATCAGGGCTTTGTCGACGGTTTCAGGGCCTGCTCAGCTGGTCAATACTCCTTTCTCTCTCCCTCTCTCTCTTACGTAACGTCAAAGGATAGACTCACTCCATACCAGGTCGGCGCCGTACTTGAGCGCCAGGAGTCTCGAGGGCAGCTCTCCCGAACGGACCATGGGCGCCAGGACAATCTTGCCCCGGTAATCGACACCCCGAGGGGGGATGGGGACTTTGTTGATGTTGGTACCCATGACTCTCTTGATCAACTTGGCGAGCATGCCCGCGATGTCTGTGGGTAAGCACTATCCTCTTGGGTTGGCAGTAGTGTTTGGTGATTTTGCTCTTGCGCTACTCGCAAGCAGTCGTTGAGGGACGGGGTAAAGTGGGTTTCTTATCGATAACCCCGAGTGAGGAGGCACATGACAGACTTCCAGTGCATGTCGTACATGTATGGTTTTTATTTTTTATTTTTTTTTCAGTCTACCCTGCGTCTTGATATACAACGGAAAAAAGAAAAAAAAAGGGTTTGGCGCGCTTGATTACGGTAACACAAGATAGGGATCGATCATGACACAGTTAGCTTACCCCTCTGGGTGTAACGTTATGCCCTTTACCGGGCCGAGAAGCTGAGCGCCAAAGACGAAACCCGTAAAGATTATGCCGGTTGGTGGCATGCAAAGATGGACGTTTTGCCGTTGGCGACCACTGTCATGACGGCGTCATCCCTGCCTTAAAATGGCTGGAGTCTAGACAGGAAGATATTATGGGCGCTTGATATAAGCTGGATCGGTCTATTTACTAGAAGAGACGGAGAGGGAGGGAGGGGGAGAAGGAGAAGCCGCGGTAAGATACGATGCAAGCGCAGGGACAGGTGCAAGGTAGACGCAGGCGCGAGGCGCAGGCGCAGGCGCAAATGTACAAGCATGTAGGAGTAGAGGTATATTGTCACTAAAATAAGATAGTATCGTGGTGGTCTATTCCGGAGCACCTGCCATCTTGGCAGCCGATGTCCCCATGCTCGGATATCCACTTTTGATGGCGAACAATGGCCCAGATTTTCCAATCCGAGCGTGATAATTACTAGTATACCGCTTGTACACTCGGGTAAAGTTATGAAGGCTGAGTACGAGGACATGTAACAATGGACGCGTTGTGCTTTAGCGCTAGCAGATCAAAATATGGCTAAAATTCGATCGACCTAAGAAAAGAGGCAGCAATGAACAATGGCACGATCAAGGAAGAGGAAAGAAGGGACCATCTATATATAACTGTCCGTATTATTAATATCATCCTACGAAAGAGACCAGGTGCTGGGACTAGGGTATGTACGTGCTCACCCGCAGCAGTTTATCACGACGCATCTTGGCAACGCGCCCAAAGAGGATATCCGTGGAAATGACAGCAAGCCAAGCATGATAAGAAGGTATACACACACACACACACACACACATGTAATAAGACTTGTATTGGCATTCGTGTTCTCACCCATGTCTTGTGTATGTGCGCGCTATTCCTGCCATCTTGCTTGGTTAGCCATTCTCTCTCTCTCTCTCTCTCTCTCGTACTGCCCAGAGTCTGCCCTGAGTCCCTGGCTATGAGAATTCATTCCCCTGTCGCAACCCAAAACGCCGGCCCAAGACGAGACCTGGTAAAGGGGCCCCGCGGTCCCCTCCCACTGGGAGTCTTACAACGTGCGCACTCGTACCTCTACTCCGTACTGTCGAGTATTAGCAGTACAGCTACTGCTAGTAATATTGCCACTCCATAAAGGAATCCACCGTGACGTACTCGGTAAGGGTTCCAGGTGGGCGCGTACCTGTAAAGGCCTCCATCTACAGGGCGTCATTATAAAAATTGCAGCCTTGTAAGCGGTAGTGTGAACTTGTTATAGGTGCCGTGGTGATATGGCGTCGTTACAGGTGCCGGCTAGTACTAGTCCAGCGTGGTTATAGGGGATCATTACTCCATACATACCGCATTACCGCATCGTGGTCTATGATCAGCATAACAGTACCAGTACCTACCTACTACTACCACTACCTCCACTAGTAGCTGTTACTGGTAGGATACAGATTACATCCTGTCCACAGCCGGGATGAAGAACAGTTTTTGCGGCTAGAATAGAAAACCCCTTATCCAAACGGTCTATCCGTATTCTTCTCTTCTCCCCCATATGATTATCACTACTGTAGTATTAATACCTACCAAGAGTGCTCGTATTCTCAGAACAGCCGGTAGAGCTAGCAATGGCTAATAATACACCTACTACGAGCATTACTAATAATACTCCATCGCTACTGCACTCAACGCTCCCTTGACATATCGTAAACGTCCCCAAAGGCTAGCCCCAGCCCAGGCGGCCAGGCCAGGGTGTTCCCCTTTGTGGATACTTGGCAGGTCATTTAGGCATTTACCACCCAACCATCGTCATTCCTGGCCTCGTCAGGGTCGATACTGGTTTTGTCTCTTGTCTGGGCAATGAACAACGAGTATCACGATTCCGTACTTATTACCGCCATTCTCTTCCCTCCTCTCATAAGGCGCTTTCTCTCTTCTCTCTCTCTCTCTCTCTCTCTCTCTCTCTCTCTATCTATCGCACACCCCCTCACGAAAAAATCAGGCAAGGAAGACCTCCCTCAATCTTGCTTTGCTCCTTACCGATAAGCATCGTTTTTTTCCGTTGCTGTGATACCCAGGTACTACCACCACTACTCTTCCATCCTTTTTCTCTCCTGCTTTTGGCTGTCTCCGTTCCTCCTCTCCCCTGCGAGAGGATACCTTGACGATCTTTGTCCCAAACCATCCTCCCCTCTCTTCGTCATTGCCATCTGGCCCCGTTTCCAATCAGACGAGTATCCGTCTCTAGGCCCTCCCTGCCCTTCAAGTACCTGCCAGTCAAGTCCCTGGTGGCTCTCTCTCGTCATTGAGACGTACTCCGTACCGCGTACCTGAACCCTTTCCCTTTCCCTTCTCTCCTTCTCTCTTCTTTCCCACACACAGCCCTCTCTTGCCCTCCTCCCCCCTTACCCCCCCCCTTCCCCAATCTGGCACTCTTTGGCTCCCTCTTCACTGGGTCACGCGCTGTTACGTACAAACCCACGCACCCACGCACCCACGCATACACAAAACACATACCTACGATAACACTCCTACTCCGTACGGAGCGTTGCACACCACACACACACACACGCACACACGCCTCACCTCTTCACCTCCTCTACCACCCCTCCCCCTCCTGTCATCTCTTCGTCTTCCACTCGGCTGCTGGCATGTCCCGGGTCTGTCCGTGACAATCTTGCCCCAGAGTTACGGAGTACGGATACATGCTACCCGTACCCGTGCGGTAACGTGCCAGCGGCCCCACCATCCACCGCCAGCTCGCGCGAGTACGAGTACCACTACTACGAGTGGTACTGCTATCATTACGGAGTACTACCACTCCTACTACCACTACTATTGCTCCATAATATCACGATCTGTACCTTAGTATCCATCACGAGGGCCACTCCCTATGAGGCTTCGGTGACGACAACAAAGACATGGAGAACTCGTCTAGGAGGGATCGCCTCATGGGCAAGCTGTTTGGCAAGGACAAGAAGCCAGCAGGGGATAGCCTCGAATCTCAGGCCTCTCTCGATGCCTTCCTCCGCAGCTCCTCCGACAACCTCAACATCACCCACGTTCCTCCGCCCCCGCCACCGTCCTCCACCGTCATCCCCAAGCTCTCCAAGCTCGACACGACCGTTGCCAAACTGCCGGCCGCAGCTGTTGGCGTCAATCAGCAGGCCCAGAGGAACCGTCCTGTCGCTCAGGGCCGACCGGTCGACCATTCCGTCTCCCAGCGTCGGGGCCCCCGACCCAACAAGAAGGGGCTGTCCGTCCGCTTCACCGATGCCTACCCCGACGTCATTGGTGAGGGCGGTGATGAGACAGACCTGCCCACCGTAGAGATATCCAAGAGAAAGAAGGCCAAGCCTCCCTCTCCCGTTGCCCAGAGGGCACCGCCGCCGTTCCCGCAACAGTCTCCCCCGAAGCAGCAGCAGCCAACCCGTCTACCACCGCCGCCAGCCGCCGCTACCGCTCCTCCTCCTGCCAGCAACCCCTTTGCCGATGTTGGGAAACAAACGTCTGACGATCCAGACTTCGTGCCCAAGCCCCTCTTGCGAACTGCCACCGGCTTCTCCTCGGTCTACACCCCGGATTCGGACGATGACGATGACGAACAGGAACCCTCCCCCGTCACCCCCGTCATCACGAACAGCAGCAATAATAACTCGCCCTTCCGCCAACGAGCTAGCCTGCAACAGCTGGCAGCCCCGACAACCCCGGAGCACCAGCCTGCCAACACCCTACGACCCGGCAAGGCCTTCGATGCCAGATACCTAGATTCTGGCCGCCACGATGAAGATCGGAGATCCTTCATAGAGATCCACCAGGCTGAGATGCGCGAGGCTGAGGGTCTGGCTCTCGCCAAGGCCGCCAGAGGCGCTGACACGACGGCCTCGGGGAATTGGGCCGACAGCGATCGACCTCCCTCAGCCTCCATCGACAGTTCGCCAGAGCAGCAGAGGCGCCAGCAGAACGTTTCTCCCGTCTCCGAGCTCGGCAGCCCTATTGTCCAGTACAGTCCCGCCGCTTCCATCCGCTCTGACGTCTCTAGTGAATATAATGGTAGCCGTGAGGAGACACGGGCGCCCCCAGCCCCGCCCCCGCCGCAGCACCAGCAACTGCACGAGAATGCGCACCGTGCTGCCCAACAGCAGGCGCAGGCGCAGCAACAACAGCAACGACAGAAACAGCAGCAGCAGCAGCAGCAGCAGCCGTTACCACCGCATATGCATTCGAGGGAGCCCAGCACAGCCTCTCAGAAAGATACTCCGTCACCGCAGCCATCCACCTCGTCCGTCCCGGCCTCGGTCCCGGCGCCTGGTCTGGCGTCGCTCAAGCTGCACGACGTTGTCGCTGCCGTCAGTGACGATGCCTTCAACGCATTTGTGACGCGCACGTCCCATCTGTTCGAGCTCTTCCGCCTGCATTCGGAGGCTTCTGGCCCCCTGTCGAGCCGCACCCCCCGAGACTGCGCCCGTGCAGGCCTGTGGTGGTTCATCAAGGGCCGGATGGGTCTGGAAAAGACGATCCGCGAGCGGCCCTCGTCGCCCCAGTCTCAGATGCACCACGAGATTGACCGGCAGCAGGCCTACACGAACTTGGCAAAGGGATACTGGCTCTGCAAGAAGGTCATACCTGAGGTCTCGCAGCTCCAGGGCATCGCGGCTGCCGATGCCGAGGTGAATGAGGTGACGCACACGCTGGTGTCAGCCCTGAGCAAGATGGCCATGTCGATGAAGAGGAACGGGATACTGCCACCTGAAGAGGCCTTTCTACCCCAGACGATTGACAAGTCGATATGGGTCGAGTACCCGGCCTTGAGTCAGGACGTCGTGGCCCTGCTGTCGGGCAACTGGGGCTCGAGCCTTTCGGCCATGCAGCACCAGCTGTCGACGCTGCACCTGCTGGACGCGTTCCCGCTCGGCGACGCCGCCGACACCTTCAGCCTGGGCCGCTTCGTGGCCGATGTGTACCTGATGGAGCAGGGCAGCGAGTCGCACCGGTTACACATACCGGCCATCCTGTCGGCGGTACGGCCTAAGAAACACACGGGCCTCGTCTTTGTGCTCGCCAGCCAGAACGGCAGCTTGCAGCTGGCCATCCAGGAGACGAAGAGCGCAGGTCCAAAGTGGGACGACGTTCGGTGGCGCAGCGACACGTGCTCGATGGATGTGCGGCTCCCCAGAGGCTTCATGCTGGCGGTGCAGCTGACGCAGGCTGACTTTCGGTCGCTCTGGACCATGTACGACTTTGCGGTCAAGATCAAGTCGACCTTGTACCCGCGGCAGGATGAGATGGTCGTGTTCCGCAACACGCTGCGGTCGTTCCAGTACATCGAGAGCGAGACGGCACAGTCGCGCGTCTTCCCCAAGGACCCAGTGCCGCACTGCGAGGTCGGGCTCTTCGAAAGGATCCACAAGGAGAGCCGGCCGACGGGGACGCGTAGCTGGCACCGGGGCTTCCGCATTGCGGTGACGACGGGGGCCTCCACCAAGACGCTGAGCGGGGTGCACCACACGTACCCGCCGTCGATGCCGATACAGTTTGGCTTCTTCCGGACCGAGGGGGACGCCCCGGCGCTGTCGCTCCGGTTCGAGAGCGGACGGCAGCGGGGCCGGATGGTGCTGACGTTCACCGAGGAGAAGGAGAGGATCCGCTTCCACTCGCTGCTCACGGGCACGGCACTGGACCACGACGAACGCATCTTTGCCGATGTACCGCTGCGCGGCTTCGTCTTTGCCGAGAGTATCCGGGAGCCGCTGGGCCTGGCGCCGTTCTCGCGCATGCCGTGGAAGGCGGCGCGCGTGGTCAACGACGAGTTTGGCCCATCGGGTGAGCAGCCGCCGACGGTGCAGGCTGACCACCTCAAGGTGGTCCTCGAGTACCAGAACGGCACGATTACGGACCGCGTCAACGTGGGACCCGGGGAGCTCCGGATGCGTCTCGAGGTGACCAACGCCAAGCTCTTCCGCATCATGAGGCAGCCGCAGTCGGACATGACCATGTCGGTGTCGGAGGCGCAGGTGCCCAAGGAGCTGCCGCGCAACCTGACCGAGGCGTTGCGGGTGTCGCGGTCCAAGCAGACGATCCGCTCGCTCGAGTTCACGACGCTGCGCGACCTGCACGCCTTCCAGGCGGCCCTGACGGGCTGGGAGGTGGTCTTTGACGGGCTGGCCCCGGCGCTTGCCATCACCCGTCGCCACATGATTGTCCCGATCCACAAGAAGTGGGAGGCTGGGTACACGCGTATCCAGCTCGTCAAGCAGGACGACATGATCCAGCTCCTGGCCTTCTTCGAGGAGTTCCAGCACGGCCACTGCCTCAACTTCATCCTCAAGGGCACGGACGTGTACGAAGGATTCGCGCGCGGAGGCAAGACGGGCGTCCGTTTCGTCGACGCCAAGTTCCCCTTACCCAGACTGCCCGAGGATAAGGATGGCGACTACGACGACATGGCTTTCATTTCGCTTGACCTGCCTGACTTGCCTGGAGAGCATGACGATATCTCTATTCTGTTTGAGAACGATTCGGGTATGCTTCTCTCTCCCTCTCTCTCGCTCCCCTTTCACACATGCGCGCACATCAACAGACACGCACACATACATATATACATATATATTGACACATGGACTAACAAGTTGAACAGATCGCGAAAACTTTTCCCAATGTCTTCCGGCACCAGTCAAGACTGTCACCCGCATGGCATCCCGGTTGAAGCAGTAGAGCAAAAAAAAAAAAAGAGTACTCGTTTCTTCTCTTGTTACTTCTTCTTCTAATGTTCTGGGGTTCTTTCCTGTTGGAGGTTCCCGTTATTGAAATGGAAAAAGGTCTTGGCGAAGGAACATGACCAAAGCGAAAGAAAAGGAAAGGAGTGCCGTCAACAGACAAAAGGGGGGACGGGATTAGATGACGGCATTCGGAGCATCAGTTTACGGCCCGACGAGGCCGGGACACGGCGTTTTCTTCTTTTCATTCTTCCTATCTCTGTTTGTCTCTTCCTTTGTTTCCGGCGGGAAAGGGGTATAGGACAGCGTTTATCTTCTTCGAGTGTGAATCTTTATTTTTTACTTCTCTTTACGACTTAGATATCTACCACATACGGCAATGACTACGATACTTGGATACATCATCCGATTTATGGAACATTGTCATGGGATGCGTCCGCGTTGACGAAGGCAGTAAGATGGGCGCAGGAGAGAGGGGAGAGGGGATGGGACAGGCGTTGCCTCTCTACACTGCCTAAGCAAGGCCAGTATAGTAACGATGGTGAGCCAGTCGCGTGCGGCGATGAACAGCTCGTGACCCTGCGTCGTAGAAGCAGAAGTGCATGACTTGACGATGGTGGTGGTGCGCACGCATGATGTATGTACATGTACGATGTGCGATGTATGATGGATGCATTGGTTGTGGGTGTACAGCTTATCAGTGAGAGGGGGGGAGGGAGGAAGCAACAAAGACAGATTATACGAGAGGAAAGAAAGATGGACAGTTGGAAACAATGAGAGGCGAGAGAAGGAAAAGACGAGAAAGAAGAAGGACGAAGAGACGAAAAGAAAGAAAAGACGGTAGGAATGGAGAAAGAACAGGGGGAGAAGTATGAGTTAAGATGATCCTGGATACCTGCAGGTGTGGAGTTTTGATGTGCGATCGATTACAGCTGACCATTTCTTTTTCGTTCAAGGTTCGTTCTTGGCCCTTGGGTCGGATGGACGGTCTCCCCCCTCCCCCCCCCCTCTCTTGTCAGGTTGGGAAGTTGTTCTAGTCTCCGCAGTGTCGGGGAGAGTATGCGCTCCGATTGACTTGTTTGCTGTCCTTTTTTCTTCTCTCGTTTGTGTTTTTTTTTTTTTGTCTATCTGTCTGTCACATCTCTTACGCTCTTCTTCTTTCTCTTCCTATTCCAGACTCTCGTCCTCATCTTCTCCTCCCCTTCTTCTCCATCTGCTTCTTATAAGGAACGAAATCCATCTCAGAGCTACTATCCTCAACCCCCCTGCCCACCAGATTTTTTTTTACTCTTCCGCCCACTGCCACTACCAACGACTGCAGGTAAAACTCGCCCGCCGCATCCGTGGATTGGAAAGTAAGAACGGACTTGTATACCAGGACGCCATGGGGTTGGTCTCTCTGGCTTCTGGGAAACGGAGGTCGTCTCTTGCTAGCTCTAGTGAGTTGTTTTCTGTTCCTTTCTGTCTACTCGTTCCCTCCGTCCCCTCTCTTCCCCTCCATCGCCCGTGAGAAGTTGCTTGCTGGGGATCTTCATCAGAGGAAGAGATACGTCATTTCTGTCTGATGTAAAAAAGGGGAAAGAGAGGGAAAAAAAACCCCACGTGCGAGTGCACCGAGTCTGCCGAGATTGAGGACTGTGCGCCTCACAAACGGGGAAAGGAGGGGGGGGGGGGGGGGGGGGGGGGGGGGGGGGGGGAGGAGACACGAAAGCTTCCATCTTACCAGAAGGTGTCTCTGGGTACGCAGCGAGCCTTCAAGGAATCGGGCCATTCCCGAAAAGACTTACACACTCCAAGTCGTCATCATCATCATCATCATCATCACTATCCCCAACATCTTGGAAGCGAGCCAGTTGCGTCACCCCCCCTCCCCTCCCCCCTCCACAAGGAGCAGAGACAAAAAAAGATACCCCCCACATCCCACTTCGTCTCCCGTACAAGTACGAGCATTTCGTATTAGAGCGCGGGCAAGTACCTCTTTGCCATCGACTTGCTGCTACAGGTAGTAGAAAGTAGTAGTGGTAGAATTCTCTCCGGTGGTAGGTGGTGCTGCTACTGCCACTGCTGCTTGCTACTGCCACTGCCACTGCCACTGCCACTGCCACTGCCACTGCTGCCGCTACTGCTCCAACGATTACTACGGTGGGAGGATGAAAGCCATCACCGTCACCATTACCCCTCTACCCTACCTACCCCTCTACCTCTCTCTCTCTCTCTCTACGCTCCGCCCTCCACCCTCCATCTGACCCACCTCCGTCACCAAAACCATCCATCTTCTTCTCTCTTCAATCTCCGAGCCATCCTAGCAGCACCAGCTAGGACCTCTCCCTCTCTCCCTCTCTCCCACACCCACATACACGCACAAACACACCTCCGCAGACACCTGAAATCATCCTCCCTATTTCTCTGCTTCCGTTCCATCTGTCCCCCCCCCCTCTCCTCAAGAGCAACTACATCCTTCCGACATGTTGTCTAACTGGTGGTACCCGCCCGAGGAAGGCAATCGATCCTCTGTCGACGATGGCGCCCACAAGATTAATCCCGACGACGACTCTCAGGCCATGGAGCCCGATCAGGGAAACGGTAAGCACACCCCTACGCGCGCACTCTCTCGGCGACGATGCGCTGGTCCTCGTGGCACGCACGCACGCGCGCACTCGGATAGGAGCAGTCGACTGACGACGACATGCAGTCCTGTCTCACATCATCTCCCAGCTAAAGCCTGGCGCCGATCTGAGCCGCGTCACTCTGCCCACCTTTATCCTCGAGCCGCGCAGCATGCTGGAGCGCATAACAAAGTTGGTAGCCTTGCGGGAACTCGCCGTTCATGTGGAGCCTGCGCAGTTGCTGACCTTGCTCGTCTCCCACATTCGCAGCTTCATGTGCCACCCGGAGATGCTCCTCCACATCCCCACACTAGACGACCCCGTCGACCGATTCGTCTCTGTCGTCAAGTTCTACCTCAGTGGCTGGCACATCCGTCCACCGTCAGTCAACACGCGAGACTCCTGATGGCCGGAGGGAACCCCGCGGAGGGAACCCCGCGGAGGGAAGAGAGAAGGAGACGAGACCCGGCTGACACCTTTTTTTTTCCCCATCACAGAGGCGTCAAGAAACCGCTGAACCCCATCCTCGGCGAGCTATTCTCCTGCTACTGGAATCTCGAAGACGGCAAGCACGCCTACTACATCTCGGAACAGACGTCGCATCACCCCCCCAAGTCGAGCTACTTTTACATGGCACCCCACCACCACATCCGCATCGACGGCACCCTCAAGCCCCGCAGCAAGTTCCTCGGCAACTCGGCCGCCAGCCTTATGGAGGGCGTCGCATTTCTGAGCCTGCTCAACCGAGGCGCCGACCCTTCAAGAGGAGAGCAATAGTAGGCTACTCCCCCCCCCCACGTGCAGAGACAAGAGACATGGATGTGACAAGACCTGCGATGAAAAGAAAAGAAGAAGGGAGGAAAGAGATGAAGGAAAACAGGAGGCTGACATTTCTCGGCAGCATCCTTACCCAGCCCAACATGTACGCCCGAGGCATCCTGTTTGGCAAGATGAAGTATGAGCTCGGAGATCACAGCATAGTCCGGTGCCCAGAGCTGGACCTTACGGCCGATATCGAGTTCAAGGTCAAGGGCTGGGTCGGCGGAACCTACAACGGCATCGGCGGCGTCATCAAGAAGGAGAGTACGGGAGAGGTGTTGTTTGAGCTGTCTGGTCTGTGGAGCGACGAGATGTTCATCAAGGATGCCACGGTCAGCACCTCACCCCCCCCCTTGTCCTTCCCCCCCCCCCTTCTTCTGACGCAGAGACAGACCGGCCACCGCGAGATGTTCTTCAACGCCAACCGCTCAAAACCCAACAACCCCCGCGTGCGCCCCCTCGACGAGCAGGCCGACGTCGAGTCGCAGAAGCTTTGGTCACAGACGGCCAACGCCGTCAGGGAGAGGAATCATGTGCTCGCTACAGATGCCAAGACGGCCATCGAGGACCGCCAGCGCGAAAAGGCCGCTAAGCGCGCTCAGGACGGCCTCGACTGGCACCCGAGCCTCTTCCGGAAGGTCCAAGCCACGGCCGGCGGTCCCGAACAGGACAAGGAGGCTCTCGAGTGGATCATTGACGCTCACATGTAAGTACCTCTTCGCCCTCACAGGATACGCCCTCCTAACTGATATTGCGCGCGTAGCGACACCTCCCTGCCCCCCGAGAAGCAGATTGAGCAGATCCTGGCCATATACCCCATCATCGATGGACAGAAGGCCGCACCCAAGCAGGAGGAGGAGGAGGAGAAGAAGGCAGATGAAGATGACAAGCCCGCCGACGAGGACGAGTCGCCAAAGAACACCGCCGCCGGTGCCCCTGCCAGTGTTCCCGCCCCCCTCGCCGCCAACTCCGAGGACACGACGGCAGAAGACCAGAAGCCGCACAACGAAGTGGAAGAAACCCTCGCCGCGACCAGCAAGCCCGCAGACGGACCTCTGATTGACCTTGCGCAAAACGTCAAGAAGTCGCTACCGGACGACAAGAGTATCCAGGGTTGAAGCCGTGGGAACGCAAGCTGCCAGACAGGGAAAAATAGGAGGCAGGAGGAAGAGAAACTCACGGAAGAAAGACTTGCAAGGGCAAGAGGTGATGATCCCTTGTGAGGTCCTTGGATGAGGCCGGTTGGTTCCAGCGAGTCTTGATGATACCAAGAGATGGGTAATAACCTTACCCAACCCACTCACCCATACTGATACTATTACTGCGACTGCTTTACACGCACACATCTACACGACACAAATTCTTTTTTGGGGAGGGGGAGGGGGAGGGAGAGGGGGAGGGGGATCTCACCCGCCTCCTCTTGCTATTAGTAGTAGTAATGTCTGGGGAATAAAGGACTCAACAAGGAGGGATGGGGGGCATGAAAGGCGATTCAACAACTTGGCGGGAGGACATGTCATGCATATAATGAGTGTCGATGGCAACATGAAGGAGAAAAAAATATACATTCTTAATTTGGGGACTACCAGGACAATAATACCGATTGTTCTTCATCTCATCCACTCGCGCGAATACAGCAAGGCTTGGTATAGGACAAGAGCAAGATACGGATACGTACGACGTGATGACATGTACATTTTTTTCTCTCTTTCTTTTGGATACTGCCTACTTGTACGGCAGCAGCAGTAGCATTAACCCCCCTTTCTCTCTCACTCTTGCCGCCCCGTCAAAGAATGGCTTCCTAATGCCCCTTTATATAACGCCAGCCCAGAAGAAGAAGAAGAAGAAGATACAACCCAAGCTAGAGATGTAGAGAAGAAGATTTTTTTTTTTGCAAGAGAGACAGCAGAATACACTTGGAAAGACGCACAAGTTCAAACAAAAGATCAAAACCTCCGACGCGTAGGCTCGGGTGTAGGCGACCTGCTGACGCTCTTCTCGTCGCGACCCCTCATCTTGAGCCACTTCTTGGTGCTGTTGATGATGTCGCGGTCGAGCTCCTCGCTGGGGTTCTTCCGGTGGATGAAGTTGCAGAAGCCACCGCGGACGCAGCCCTCTCCCGAGTTCAGGCGGCAGCAGGCCTCGCGGAAATCGGTGACGGGGCTGAGCTCGCAGTAGACGGGGCGGCCGGCGTACCAGCGGCTGTTGAGCTCGTCGCAGGCCTTTTGGGCCGACTCTTCGTACTTGAAGCGGGCGTAGACGTTTCCGATGAGGTCTGAATTTTTTTTTTTCCAGAGAAGAGTTGTTTTTGGTTGGTAAGTGATTTCTTTTTTCTTTTTCTTTTGCTTCTGTATGCGTGTATATGCGCGTGGAGAGAGAGTACATACGATCATTGTTATTGTCACAGACGACTAGCTCTTCTGGCTCGCCATACTTGCACAGCTCGCACCAGATGTCCTCGTAAAAGGCGTCAAAGTGATTCTGGAGCTGCGCCGGGTTCATGCGGTTCTTTGTGTCGTAAGCCGGGTTCTGGTACAGGTTTGGCATGAGGATGGTCTGGCTGTAGGATGGCTTGACGTGCTTGCGGGAGCAGCGATCTCCGTGACGGCAGGCGCCGATTTTCTGGTCGGGAGAGAAGGAAACGTCAGCACGCCTGATTCCATCTCCGTCTTCTTCAACCCCCCCCCCCCCCGTAACGGGTACGAGGATCGCGACAGTGGTTGGGGTGACGAGATGGGGAAAAAAAGAAGAGAAGAAAGTTGGCTGGAAAAAGCTTACAAAGTAGAATGAGCAGTTGACCTTGTCAAGCTCTGTTCCGAAAATGGAGGCGAGAAAGCTGGCCATTCTTCTTTTTTTGATATGTATAACTGTATGGGGACTGCGACCGAGATTGTGTTGCGATTGAAAAGTGGTAAGGCTGGGCCGTGGGTTCGGCAAATGATGAGGATGATGGTAGAGGAGGAGGAGGAGGTTGAAGATCCATCTCCCGGCGCGCGCCCCCCCAGAAACGAAAGAGCAAAGGACATGTGGCGCATATGTGGCGTAATTACCAATCAAGCCACACTACCCCGACACATTCCAGAATCCTATCGATAGGGGAGGTGATACATATACGAGTACAGGTTATACTCGTATATGTCTGACAACGGGCGTCATTGAATTCACCCAAGACATAATCCGCTTTTCTTCTGACTCGACGGAATCCAACAGCGTTGGACTACCGTTGGATGGATACCAGTATGTCTTTCTTTTCTTCTGATCACCACATACTTGGCTCTTACAGTATGTAGTTTCTTTCTTTTCTTTTCTTTTTCTTTTTGGGTAAGAACTATATAGAAGAATAAGAATAAAAAGAACTGATATTACTACAATAGCCTGCATACACCAGTCACAATGCAGGCTGAGCAAGGGTGGATCCCCCACCGTCTGAGGGGCTCTTCCACCCCTGAAAGCGCGCGGATACTGGGGTTCGTTGGTTCAAGTTAATTATCAGACGACGGATGGAAGAGAGGAGAAACGAGCAAGGATCTAATCCAATTCACTCCTCCCCTTCTTCTCTTCTATAATACCAATCAACTACGCCTGTTTCTTTTTTTTTTCTTCCTTTTTTTCTTTCTCACTTCTTTAACCCCTCCCTCGACCTCCCGGGACGAATTCGATCGAAACGAGAAATGCAAAGACGGCAGCGATAAGAAAGAATTGCAACAAAGGGGGGTCAGAAGAAGGCAATCGCGAAAGACAGGACGCTGTTTCTTCTTCTTTCTTCTTCCTACCCCGGAATTCAACATCTACGCTGCCCCGCCCGCCGTCGCCGCCGCCGTCGCCTCCAAAACCATGGATCAGGCAGATATCCCGGCGCTGCTGTCACGCATGGCAAGCGACGAAGATGCGTCCCGCAAGATGGCCGTGTTCAAGCTGCAGAGCTCCATCAACGACCCTGCCTTCGCCGACGTCTTCATCTCGTCGGGCGGGCTGGTGGTGCTCCGGCGCCTGATCATGAGCTCGAGCGGCAACACGCTGGCCTACTCGCTGCAGAGCCTGACGCGGCTCCTGGAGGTCGACATGGGCTGGGACGTGTTCGAGGGCCCGACGGCGAGCGACCTGGTGGAGCGCATCGTGGAGCTCATCGTCAAGAACCCGCTGGTTAACATCCTCAGGGGGGCCATGTCCATCCTCGTCTCGCTCGTCAGCCACTCGCAGTCGGCGCCGCCCGAGATCTCGGCCTCGGCCTCGGCCGTCTCGACCACGGCCGCCCCGGGCGCCTTTGGGTTCCGCGCCCTCAAGCCCGCCGTCGCCGTCCACCCGCAGTTCCTCGAGCTCGTCATCCACCAGCTGCAGAGCGCCGACCACGCCCTGTGCGGCATCGCCCTCATGCTCATCAACGCCCTGATCCGCGACGCCCTCTCCTCGGCCGACGGGGTGTCCATCAGCAGCAGTGTGGTGGGCGGTGGCGGTAGCAGTACCGCCGGCAACAGCAACGGCAGTGGAGACGAGTGGCTCAGCCTCATCAAGAAGCTGCACGACCTCGGCCTCGTCAAGGCGGTGTGCAACCTGATGCGCAGCTCGGCCCTGCAGGACCTGGCGCACCCGATGCTCGAGTTCCAGACCCTGACAAAGGTGCTGCTCCGCAAGTGGCGCGACATCCGCGTCGACCTGGAGCGGAGCGAGCACCGCCGCGCCCTCAAGAGCCTGCACCTGGCCAGCAACCCGGACTGGTCGGCCTCGACCGGCGGCCCCGGCTCCGCCAACGGCTCCGCCAACGGCAACACCAACGGACACTCGCGCGACAACTCCAGGGGGAGCAAGCGCCACAACCCGGAGAAGTGGAGGCGCCTGGGGTTCGAGACCGAGAGCCCGTCGCACGAGTTCGAGACGGCGGGGTACCTGGGCCTGATGGACCTGGCCGACTACGTTCGCAAGTACGAGGGCGGGTTCCAGAAGCTGCTGCTGGAGCAGGCGTCGCAGCCGCTCCGGGACCGGCTCCCCGTGGCTCGAGCCAGCCTGTCGGTTACCATGATGCTCTACCGGCACTTCGAGGTCGGCCGGGCGGACCTCGAGGACGCGCGGAACGGCGGCGGCGGAGGCGGCGGAGGCGGCGGCGGGTACGGGTACCGCGGCGTCGACATGTCGGACCACGACTCGCTGTTCAAGCCGCTGCTGCTGCAGTGGTCTCGGCTCCACGCCGCCGGCCTGCACGCCTTCTTCCGCATGTGGAAGGCCACGGGCGCGCGCGGCGGCGACTTCGACAAGGTGGCCGAGCTGGTGCGCATCCTCATCGACCACGTCGTCGGCCACGCGCCCCGCACCAGGGACGTCATGGAGACCGAGGACGACATGCATGAGTACGACGTCGCCCGCCTGCGCCAGCTGCAGATGGACATGCTCCGCCTCTCGTTCGAGGACAAGTGGGGGAAGCACCTGGTCCAGGTGCGCGACGAGCTCACGCAGGAGGCCCTCCACTTCGTCAAGGAGCAGCGCGTCCGCTGCCTCCTCCACGGGTCGTGGTTCGCACGGCCGCCGGCGGACGGCAGCAACGGAGACACGCACTACCTCCCCTGGCGATTCGCCAAGCTCTCGCACAACAAGCGCTTCCTGCACTACGCCGACTTTGCCCAGAAGCCCGCTCAGGATCCCGTCCTCGGCAACCTGCCGGACAAGGTGGACCTCGGCACCGTCAGCTCCGTGGTGTCCAACGTCTCGTCGGAGGATCCTTCTGGGACCCAGGCTACCGCCACCGCCACCACCACCACCACCACCACCACCAAGAAGAGCAACAGCAACAGCAACAGCAACAGCAGCAGCAGCCCGTCTGGCATGACGAAAATCACAATCAACACCGAGACCGGCGGCAGGGAAAAAGTCCTGCTCACGCTGTGGCCACCCACTCACAGTCAGGCGTCCGAGTGGCTGGACGGCCTGCTCATGCTACTGGGCCAGGCGCCCATCACATCGGATACGAACAAGCTCGTCAACCTGGTCAGCGATTACGGACTCAAGATCAGGATGCTGAATGTCAATTTCGGCTCGGCCTTTCAGGGTCCGCCGCCTGGTGCGGGCGTGGTGCCCAGTCGGAAGGGACTGGATAATGACTACTTTTTTGATGTATAACATTTCTTTTCCCGCTCATCTCCTCTTTTCTTTCTCCTTCTCCTCCCCCTCCCCCTCCCCAATAACTTATTGTTCATTTTGTTTTATCGTTTCCGGCATCGCCAACGTCTGCATATTATCTTTGTTTTTTCTTCTTCTCCTCTTCTTTCTATATATACCCCACCCACCCACATACACACACACATAGTTGCGGGAAAACCGAGGGTTGGAATTGTCTGGCTACTACGCCCCCTCTCAAGATGACCTTTCAAGATGATTAGTATTAATTACCCATTTTAGTTATTCTCTTTCCTATCTAGCTTCTTTTTTAGATTTTCTTCTTCTTTTACGCATGAGAAATGTACAGATTGTTCAGGAATCACTCTTTCCCACCAAGTATCAGGTCCCAGGACAGCAAGCGTTGAGGCAGAAGGACTCGTATGCTCGGGCGGCGCTGACCTCATGACGGCATTGCGAGCGAAGCCCAGGTTGTGGATACCGGGGACCCAGTTCGGGACAGATGGGGAACTGAGCACAGCTGGTACCCGATGATGGATTATGGGAGGGGAGGGGGGCGGCGGAACTCATCGGGCTGCCAGATTTCATGTCTGATGTATCAGATATTCCAAACCGTCACCACCACCCCTTCTCTCGGCAGACGGAGTAGCTGTGCTGTACAAGAGAGAGGGGGAGAGAGAGGGGGGGAGAGAGAGAGGGGAGGAGAGGGAGAGAGAGGGAGAGAGAGAGATGCGGGACAGAACGTTCCATCATCAGGCCGCCGGGCCTACGGTCGTCGTGCGTACATCGTCTCCATGGGCCACGCAGAAAAGAGTCCCACAATGATGCAGCATTCGCAGCCGGTACCACTACAGTCTACGACCGATACGGTAAGGCAAGGTGATGATACATAATAATAGTACATATTACTCCGTAGTAATAATAGTAATCCTATTGCTCCTTACCCCGTAGTATCTACGCACTGACGCAGCGATACAGGTATTCCGTACGCACGTAACTTTGGCTCTGCCACGCTAGTAAGCTGTAGCTAGTGGTTGCGGCAGAAAATGATGCATGCCGTGTGTGTGTGGCCGATCCCGGTTTCAGTTTTTTGCTTACTTGGGCTCTCCGCAAATTGCTGCTGCTGATAGACTAGACACACCAAGATCGGGTCTCCTCCCCCTCCGGGCAGACAGACATTTTTATAATAAAAAAAAATTGTTTTTCTGATGACGACTGCGGCGTGTCCTCTTCTTCTCACTCCTCACTCTATCCGTAACTGTAGGAGCATTAACTACTGACTCACCGTCCTTCCGGACTGCCACCCACAAAAAGACCAAGACTTGCCCTGCCCTTGTGCCTACTTCTTCTTCTTCCCCTCCCTGCCTCCAAACTTTTGCTGCCGTTCCTCTTCTCCTCCATTCTATTCTCTCCTCCCCCGCCTTCTCGAGAGAAGAGAGAGAGACAAGGTCAGAGATGACAGTGGTTCTGGATCTGTGATCCCCCCCCCCTCTTCCCTCCCCGCCCGCAGCCCCAAATCCCCGAAAGAGAAGGATCCACAATCACAAGGCGCCGTTGTGGCGCACCCACAATTTATCTGTGGCGCGTACACACACATACTCGTAAGACACGTGCGTGCGTGTGAGAGTGTGTGGCGCCCCAAATACCTGGAATTGGCAAAGGTTCCAATCTTGAGGGGAGTCCGCTGAAAACCCGCTGAAAGCCCGCTGAAAGGCCGCCCGCCCAACTTTGGTAGGAGAGGAGCCATCCATCCACTCACTGCTTTCCCACCCGCTGCTCGGACCTGGAAACTGCTCTGGGTTCTGCTTCAGGCACTGCTTTGCTGGCCTCTCCCACCACCCCTGAACAGATCCCAGCCCACGTCAGCACCCACCTCCCCCCAAACGGGCTAATGACCAGCCAAAAAAATAAAAAAAAATAAAGAATAAAATCATTACCACAATTTACAATCACGGCAACAACACATCTCTCTCCTTCCTCGTTTCGTCACTACCACCAGCCTTACCCCCTTTCTCTCCTCCTGCTGCTGCGGAAGAGCGCAACTTTCCTATTCATTCCACAACGCTCTCCGTGTCTTTTACGGTATGTTGAACCTCCTGCTATCGCTGCTGCTGCCCTCTACGCCTCTGCTGTGCGCGTCTGTACTACCTGCACAAGGGGGAGATCGAGAGCTGGGCATCTGCCTGCGTGGCCTCCCTGTTCCCCCTCTTATCGGCCCTCGTTGCTTTGCTGGCCTCGTTGTCTTGTCTCGCCCGCTTCTTCGCTCACCAAGCTGACAATTCTATCTTCTGCTATTAGACTTTTGCGCGTCTCGAGAGACTGCACCTCCAACATTGTGTACTATCTGACTTCTACCAGAGCAAAGAAGAAGAGAAGAGAGCTCGGATACTCCTTTCGACCCAACACACACAGCAGCCATGTCCCGCATCCAGATCCCGATGGACGTCATCACTTCGCGTCTCAACCTGAGCGAGAGGTTCCAGGGCCTGACGTCGACGCCCTTGAACGGCCGCTTCAGCAACCTGCGCCCCATCGGCGAGTTCATCGATGTCAAGCGCGTCAGCAAGCCCGCCAACTTCTCCGAGGTCCAGTCACGCGTCAACTACAACCTGAGCCACTTCTCGAGCAACTATGCTGTCGTCTTCGCCATGCTGAGCATCTACGCCCTCATCACGAACCCTCTGCTGCTGTTCGACATCATCATCGTCATTGCCGGCATGTACGTCATCGGGCTGCTCGACGGCCGCGACCTCGTCATCGGCAGCTTCCGCGCCACGTCGTCGCAGCTGTACACCGGCCTCATCGTGCTCACTGTGCCTCTCGGTCTGATTGCCTCGCCTATCTCGACCCTGCTCTGGCTCATTGGCGCTAGCGGCGTGTCCATCCTCGGCCACGCCGCGTTCATGGACAAGCCTATCGACGAGGCTTTTTCCGGGGAGGCGGTCTAGGTGGTCGGCCGCGAGCTCCCGAATTTGCGCCCCCATGGGGAAGACCATCGAGGCGCGGGCGGAGGAGAACCGAGGGGGACGATGCTGCGCACCGCGGGTCCTGGGGTGGTGACACCAGGATCCGTGAATTGGAGACGGACGATGACTCGGATACCCAGGGGGTGGGCCTCTTCTCGAGGCGCGGCACGCGCCTCGCGAGCGACTCGCTCCGCTTTACGGGTATAGGCTTGGGTGACAGGGAGGACGGCGGTGCCCTGAGGAGGAGTGGCTGCGCAGACGATTCATTCGACGACTCAGACATGCATTCTTCCGACGGCGACGACGGCGACGACGATGATGGCGAGGGGGCGGACGACGACGAGCACCTGGCGCTGATTGATCCCGAGGAGAGGGAGGAGTACCTGGTCCGGAGGGCCATGGACAGGATCAACCGCGCTCAGGCCAGGGGCAGGGATGACGTGAGCCTGACAAAGACAGAGCTGGAGGCCCTGGAGCGGTGGAGGCGGCGTATAGAGGAGGAGGAGGAGGAGGAGAGGAGGGAGCGCAGGAGGAGGCGGAAGCACCGCGTATCGGTGCCCCTGTCTCAGCTGGAGACCGTCTCTCGCAAGAGCAGGTCGTCCCGCGACGGCTCGGAGCCGTCTTCCTCGCGCCATCCTTCGACCGATAGCCGGGCCTCGAGGCCCAGCAGCAGCCGCCAGGCATACCCGCCCTTGGGCCTCTTCCCTCCCCCTTCGTCGGCCTCGGACGCCCGATCGCGCCGGCGCTCCGGGACTACGACTTCGGCATACCGGCCGGACGGTCGCGAGCCCTCCTTCCAATACGACTACGTGCAGCGGCCGGCATCGTCAGCCTCACGGCACGTCTCGGACTCCCTCACGAGTGCTGGAGGCCCGCGCTCGTCCCGTAACGCCTACCAGGCGGACCCGTACCAGCTCCACACCGTGGGGTCGCGTGCGCCGCCGGCATCGTCATCGGCAGGCGCTGCGGCGGCGTCCTCTTCCAGAAGGCACACGGCGTCGGATGCGGCCTACTCGTCAGCACATCAGCGAGCGTCAGCACCCGCCCTTCCTGTCCCAGGCAGGAGTGGTGGTCACGATTATGCCGACGAGACGATGATGATGAGCTCCGACGAAGGGGGCGGCAGCCGGTCGAGCGAGCAGAGCACCAGCGATGATCTCAACAGCGGGGCGCGTATTCGGGAGCCCACAACGACTAGGAAGAGGGGGGACAGTGTAGCGGCGGAGAGGCACAGGCCTGATCATGCTCCGACAAAGAAGAAGTCATCGTCTACATCTAATACGGTAGAGGTATCGCCCAAGCGGAAGCCTGTGCCGAGCAGAGGTAGGAAGAAGAAGAAGTAGCGTGGTGCGTGTTTTTCTTTCTCTTTCTTTTCTTTTTCTCTTTTTGTTTTTCTCATTGTTTCTCATTTATCTTTCTTGGATCCCCCCCCCCTTTCTTGTATTAGATTGGTTCTTTCGTGTTGTAATACTCGTACAAAAATAGAGATGGGATGGAAAACAACACCCCTCGATTCAGGGAAATTATTTGTTATGAATCTCAATAGACTTGAATTATATTCACCACCTTGTGCTGTAATCTCATCTTTACTACCTGACGGCGTATCCATACATGATTTCTGCATCACGTTGTGCCTGCGACGTTGCCTCGATAGAGTCATACGAGTGAGTATTGTACGAGTATACTATTATTATTATTACTTAGTAGACTGACTGTACGGAGTACCCGTACATATATGTACTCCGTACCAGTCCAGGCAGATGGTCCCCACCCACCCACGGTAACATTACGACCCCAGGCATGGACCGCATGGTACGGTACTCCATAGGCCGATCCCCACGTCGCAAACCAGCTCTCTCAGCTCTCGGCCCTCTCTCTCTCTCTCTCTCTCCCCCTCTCTCTCTCTTCTCTCCCAACGACATCCCATCCTATCCCCGATCTCTCCATCTCTTGAATCTCGTATCCTCGTCATAAGAAGAAGAACGAAAAAAAAAAAGAATTTGAAAGAGGAGAGACGAACGTGCAAGACACCATCATGCCCGAAGACAAGAGACCGTCGGCCGCAACGTCCAAACAGGCCGCCAAGCGTCTCCTCAGGGAGCTAGACACGTGGGAGGAGGAGCGCAAGGAGGAAAAAGGAATCGAGAGGCTCGGTCCTGTCAGCGAGGAGGATATATTTACCTGGGAAGCTGTGGTGAATGGCTATGGTGTAGGAAACGGTTATGACGGTACGTTGATTTTCTCTCGACATTTTTCATTTATTCACTTCTCTCTCTCTCCCCTCTCCCCCTCCCCCCGCCGCGCTCGTCTTCTGGGGCATTTCCATTTGGACTCATCACCTCCCTCGCCCTTGTGGCACCTACCTACCTCTCTCCTCGAGGATATCTTGACCGGTAGAAGGAGAGAGAGAGAGAGAGAGAGAGAGAATAGTATAGAAACGCTGACAGAGGTATAGCCGGCCGCTGGCTCATCAGCATCGAGATCCCACCGCATTACCCCCTCCAACCGCCGCGGATGCGCTTCGTCACCCCCATCGTCCACGCCAACATAGCCCTCCAGACGGGCGAGATCTGCCTCGACCTGCTCAAGGACGCCTGGACCCCGGCCTACAGCGTGCTCGAGTGCGTGCGCGCCGTGCGCATGCTGCTCGCCTGTCCCGAGACGGACAGCCCGCTCAACGTCGACGTCGCGGCCCTGCTGAGGGGTGGCGACGTCCTCGGCACCAGGAGGCTCGTCGAGTGTTGGTGTGCCGACGATGGGGGGAGGTATGACGGGGCTTGATGAGCGTTGCTCTGCCGCCGTGCTCTGCTCTCGATGCTTGCTGTTTGCTGCTGGCTGCTTGCAGGGCCCTGTCATCTTCCCCTACCCCTCACCCCCAAAGTTTGATATATATATGTTTGTTTGTTCTGTTTATAATGATACGGGCGTTTGTATTTTTGGGATGGTACCGAGAAGAAGGAGAAGGGGGGGGGGAGCAAAAAATTTGATCTTGGAGAGTACTTGAAATTGTTATGAAGACTTGGAAAGCAATGTATATCTTGGGGTTTTGAAGGAGAGTTTTTATAAACAGCTCAAGAAGGGAGATTTTTTGACCTGATTTTTTTTTTCCTAGAGAGAAAAGATTGTCAAGAACCAAGACTGCGTCGAAGCCCGTTTCTGTATCTCTACTACGCATCGTCGTAGTATAACGAGGACAATAGAAGAGGAACTACCCTAACATCTAAGAAAAAAGGTCAAAGATACGTCTCTCATCTAGTCATGCATCAATTGTCGGCGATACCACACAGCGCATGAACAAACCCTTGACCTCCCAAGGCTTCAATATTCCACACAAAAAAAAAATCTAGAACAAGGAGATTGATGGAAGGCATAAAGAATAATGGCCAGTCAAGATGTAAATACACGATAAAGAACGCCAGATGCCAACCCTTTCAAAACATGGAGGCGTAATACAACATGCCTCCCCCGGGGGCTCGCTCTTTTGTAACCTCACCGCCCCCTTTTTTTGTGCGCTTGTGGCCCCCTCTCCTGATATTTCTGTAGGAGATGTTTGCTGTTCTAATATTGATGGAAGAGGAAAAGGGAAAGGGGGGTCCGTCACCCAGTACAAATTAATAAAACGATAGTCTTTGGGAGAGTAAGCTCATTCGTTGTAGTGGTAGACCTGGGGGTGAGGAGGATCTTGTTAGCTCTTGACTACCGTCTCTTGCGGTGCATCTTTTTTTTTTCTGCTGATGGGCGATGTCTTACCTTGTAATTGGGAAGACCATATGGTTGCCAACCCAGACGCTTGGCCATCTTGGCGAAACCTTCCGTCTCGATGAGGTGGTAAAAGGGGAAAGCAGGGAACATGGCTCCGTCACGGTGGACGTCGGCCTTGACGAGGAGGGCGGTACCGCCCACGCCGTCCAGGGGCACGACCATGTCGGCGTCCTTAGCGTCGGTGACCATGTAGGCCATGAGGGCTCGGTAGGTGGCCATCTCGGCGTAGCCCTCGACGATGATGTCGTCGGGGCCCATCTCGGCGGCCATTTCCTGGGCGATGTCGCTGTCCTGCCAGCTGTTGAAGTCGTAGGCGCGCTCGTCCATCTTGCCGGTGTCGGGGTTGCGGTACCGCTGGAAGCAGTTGGGGACGATGATGGGCTTGTCGTGGGAGGCGAGGTCCTGAATGAGGGTGGCGGGTGTCTCGACGACGTCCGAGTCCAGCCAGAGGACCCACGAGGTCGAGGGCCCGAGGGTGGTGAAGAGGAGCGAGTTGCGGGCCTTGGCCATGACCTCGCGGCGGGCCTTTTGGTTGGAGAGCTTGTGGCGCTCGCCCTCGTCCTGAGACGACAGGGGCGGGTCAATGTCCTGGCGGAGGATGATGATGCTCTTGAAGCGCTGCTTCTCCGGCCCCAGCTTCTGCGTCCGGTGTATCTCCTGCTGCAGGGCCGCGGTGGCGGCGTTGCCCTCCTTGGTCTTGGGGAGGATGAAGCCCAGCGTGATGAGGCCGTGCGGGTACGACAGCTTCAACAGGTTGTCCCAGTACTCGTAGTAGAAGCGGGCCATGGGCGTCAGAATCAGCACGCTCTCCTGATTTCCAATGGGGTTCGCCGTAATGGTCACGTCGTTGAGCCGGTAGTGCTTGACCGGCGGGGGGCCGACCTCGATGCCCGATCGGGCGCTCGGTTTCCTGTACGGCGATGTCGGTGGCGAGAGGTGGTGCTCGGCCGTCTCGCGAGTCAGTTGGCCTATTGTGGGCGTCGAGGACGAGGGCGACGCCAGGAAGAAGAAGATGAAGATGCACAGGGCCGCGCCCAGCAGGAGTGTCAACGGATTGGCCTTCTTCAGGCGCACCGACCCCATGGGGCGAGCCATGGCGGTCGGGTGTGGTGTGCGTGTGTGTATTGGAGGGAGGGAGAGGGAGGGAGAGTGCGCGCGTCCTGTGTACGAGATATGTATCGACGATCGTTGATTTGAACAAAAAGAAAAGAAAAAAAAGAACAGAGAACAAATGGTTATAAGGAGTGGACGAAGTGAAGAAGAGGGGATGACGAGGGGAAAAAAAGAATTGGCCAACTTTAAAATCGCATAGGGAAGCGGGAGACGAAGAGGGGGGCCTCGTCGTCGTAGAGTAGTGTCGGCGCAGTCTATGTCGTCTGTCGTGTCGTCGTCGATGCCGATTCTTGGG